GCTCCTGCTGATCACTGTACACTACCCTTCTCCGCTGCTTCTAGCACAGTCATGACAGCTTCTTCTTTATCCAGTCAAAGGGTCAGGGTTGAGAGAAGGGCCTGGATCTGCTGCTCTCTGGCAGTCCAGCATTTTCTGTCATGCCTGAAGCCTTCAAGCTCTTATTACTGGAGCCCGAGAACTGTGGGAGTCCCCAGTTACCATCCAGTTCAGAAGGATTGACTCCAGGTGCTGGAACACGCGTCCTAAAGTCCTCACCATGGCAACAGGGCTCACTTCCTTCTCCTCACACCTCCGCCTCCTTGGATACAGAGCATAGCTCTTCTGACCCTTCTGCTTTTCTCACATAAGCTCACTTTGCCCCAGGGCCTTTGCATCAGCCCACTCTCCTCTTCTGGAATGATTTGGCTACATCTTTCTAACTGCCCAGCGGCTTCCCTGACCATATGTTTGAAGCAATTTACCCCTCCAGCATAGCTATTCTTGTTTCATTATTGCTCGGTTTTCTTTATAACACTTGGCACAAAATGAAATGGCCTTATTTTGGAATTATTTATCATTATTCTTGTTGCTTTTTGGTGGTGCCAGAGATTGAGCCCAGGGTCTCATACATGCTAGGTACCTGCTCTGCCAAACTACACCCCCAGCCTCAAATTGTTTATTCTCCATCTCCCTCTGGAATTGAAGCCCCAGGTGGAAAGGAGTACATCTTTCATTCTCCTTTCTACCCAACATCTAGAACAGGTGGCTATTCTGCAGCTCAGCTCCTGGTATGAACAGGGATTTTGTGGTCACTGGTTAAAAGAAAGTCTTCCCTCAGAATATCTTGTCGTCTCTTGCTGGAAGTTTTCCATAATCACCACCCCAGCCCGCCCTGACTATGCCTTGTACCGCCTGCCCCTCCTCCGCCAATAGCTGCCCACTGAATGGCCAAGCGGGGGGCTGGAATTCCAGGGTCAAAAGCATCTGAAGGCAGAGGTGAAACTGCACACTGAGTTGTGTTGATGGCCTTATCTGTCCATTGATTTCACTGTGTTGGGTACAGAGTCCTTCGCTTCCCTTGTCTACCAAGCACAATTTGCTCGGCATGCCCCCCACTATGGTGTTGGCTTGAGAAATCAGAAACAAATAAGATATCGTGCCTTCATGCAAGAAGTTGGGGGCCCAGAGGGCCAGTGACTGAGGGTGAGTCATGGGGTACAGGGTTGCCATGGCTGTAAGGTCAGCCAGTCCAGGCGCTCCTGGGCCTCAGGGTACCTTCTGGGTCTTAGGGAGTTAGGGTTTCCTAGGGAGGTGACTGCGTTAGACCACAGGAGGGGAAAGTCCAGCATGGTGAGAAATGTGACAGAGTCCAAGCCGTCACGCGCTCAACAGCCATGAAGTCATTTCCGAACTCAGGCTCCTGCTTTGCATATCTGTGGAGGTCGTGAGGGGTCCTCTCTAACATGCCCTTGGCCTCTCCTCTGCACTTTTGTCCACGACACCTTTCCTGGGAAGCCGCATCCCGTTTTCAGCCTTGTCCCCAGGTCATTCTTTCTGCTCTGTTGTGAACACAGACACAGCCTCTTCTCTTGTGTTCTTCCCTGTCTCCTCTAGCTTCCTAGGTCCAGTGCTGCACCCACTCTCTGACTCTGACTCTGTTATGATGTAGACCTAAAATGCTCCCCAGAGTCTTGTGTATTCAGAAGCGAGGCTTTTTGGGGGGTGACTGGATCATGGGGACACTATATTCACGTGTAGATAATCCATGCATGAGTTCATAGCCAAATGCGTTGCTGGGGAGTTGGGTCTGGTTGGATTCGGGTCCCTGGGGATACAAACTGGTTATATTCTTGTTCCCAGATCCTCCCGGCTCTCTTTGCTTCCCAGCTGCTGTGAGTTGAACACTCCTCCTTTACCAGACCCTTCCACCATTGGAACCAGCTGACCACGGACCGAATTCCCTGAATCATAAGCCGAATTAGACCTCTCCTCCTTTTGAGATGTGGATGTTGGGCCTCCAGTCTTAGTCATAGGAGCGCTGACAATTCCAGTCTCCATCACAAAATCCAAGGCAGAGTCCTCTTTGGAGCACAATGGGGGAGAGGGAAAAGGCTCCCAATACCCCTGCATAACTTCTTTTGGCCTCATCACACTTAACCTTTCCAACTACTATTATTAACCTATTTTGAAAATGAGAAAATTGAAATCAGGATAGCTCAAATAATCTGCTCAAGACCTGAAAGCTAGTAAGTGTCTTCCTGCCTGCTATTTCTGTCCCTTTGTCTTCTGATTTGCCTACTGTGACTTCAGTGCAAAGACAGCCTTCCCCAAACATCTCGCCTGGCCGTTGCTTCTGGTACACTTCCTTAAGCCTGTGTGCTTTTCTGCCGTGGCACCTGTCATGACTCTAACTATATATTTCTTTTTGGGGTTGAAGTCTGTCTCTAGCATTAGCCTGCAAGTTCCTGCATATGCATCCCCCAGTTGTATTCCCAGTCAGTGAAACAGCATCTGAGACGTGCAAAGTGCTCAGTAAACGTCTGCTGAATAGAAGAACAAACAGCCGGGCTTCCAAGTCTGGTCTCAAGAGTCCGAGTTCTTTTCCTGCACTGTGAGCTGGTGTTCTCAGGAGGGCCGGATGGGACACAGGCCATTCCAGCTTCAGGGGTGACTGCTTGCCACATACACCAAGGAGTTACGGGGAGGTTCCCTGTTGGTAGTGCTGTGTTGAATGCAGTTTTATGACGGGAGATGGCAGGAGAAGCAGCCGGAGCTGCGTAAAAAGGCAAGGGCGAGGTGAATGAGGAAAAGGTTTTTCTTGTGTGCTGGACAGGAATCAGGGCTCTCAAGTCACCACTGAGAGGTGTGCAGCTGGCGGTGATGTGGTCACAGCCACGTCACAGGAAGATCACTGCCTGTCGCTGAGTTGGGGAGGCAGAGATGAGGGCGGAGCCTGGAGGCTGTGATGTCACCAAAACAGTCTGCAGAGGAAGCTGTCCTGGGCAGGGGGACAGGTGGAAAGGGACAGGCAGCCCCTAGGAGGCGAGGAAGGACAGGGGAGCAGAGCAACTCTGCAGTGCCAGGCTGACACTGGGAGAAGTGCAGGAAAGGGCGTGACTGGGACAGACAGCTCGGCTGAGCAGCTGGAGACTGAGGAGCTGTGGCACCTGCAGGTGTCCATGCAGGGTGCAGGCGGGTCTGGGTGGAGAGATCTGGGGAGGGACGGGAGGCAGCAGCCCGCAGCAGGTGAGTGGGTCAGCGGGCCAGGATGTCTGCAGAACGCTGCTCTCTCCTCTGGTCCTGGCCCAACCCCTGCATCCTGGACTGGGGACAGATGAGACGTCGCCTGGGTGCGGTGCTGGGTTCTCAGGAGCCCTGTCCTCTCCCCTCAGTCTTTCCCCCACTATTCTTTTTTTCTTTTCCCCTGTGTGGGGTTTGGACCATGTAGCCAAGGCTGTTTGCTCTTCTGTGAAACCCCGAGATAGTTATGTGTCCTGTTCATGCTCAAAAAAGAGGAAGAATGTGAAAGTGTGCTGAAAGGACACCCCGAGCTCCGGGTTCTTTTCCTCCTTTTTGTTGTTTTGTTTGATTGATTGATTTATTTATCTATTTATTTATTTACTGAAACTCTGGACCTTGCACTTTTGAGGCAGGCAGCAGAACCATTGAACTAAATCCCCGGCCCTCTTTTATTCTTTATTTCTCCTTTTCTCATCTCACCCCCGTCCTGCCACCAAGCACTGGAGATTGAATCCAGGGCCTTGGCACTGAGCCACCTCCCCAGCCCATTTTTATTTTAGGACGGGGTCTTGTTAAATTACTAAACTGCCCCGGCTGGGCTCAAGCTTGAGATCCTCCTGCTTCAGCCTCCCAGAGCACTGGGATTGCAGGTGTGTGTCACCACCCCACTCAGCTCTTTTCTTTCCATTGTTTTACAAGTTCAGAGTTCATCCAAAATTATTCCCCAAAGGAGACATAGCTCACAGCTTAGGGCCCGTGGGGAAAGGACCACCTCTCGCGGGGCCAGAGAGGCCAGGGGGTGTGGGGTGGGTGTAGGGGAGAGGAGGGGGGA